CAACCACGCCTTCAAATCGAGAGACGCCATGCGAGCGGAGGGCAAACGGAGCTTCTGGAGAGGTTCTTTCTCTACTCGGTCTTCTAGTAGGAAGCGGTGCATGACTACCGGGCTCTAGCTACTGCTAGCTACCACTCGAGCAGTGTGAGAGGCGCCCATCGCCCCGCCTTAGCGAGCTGCGCCGCCTATCAAAACCAGGTATAGCTACTCGGCCTTCTAGTAGGAAGCAGTGCATGATCACAGGGATCTAGATACTGCTAGCTACAGCTCGAGCCAGACGCGCACGCTAGCGGTGCGAGAAGCGCCCAGCGGCCCCGCCTACTTTCGCGTTAGCGAGCCGCGCTGCCTAGGACAAACAAGTACCTCTGTAGTGGCCTACCCTCCAAGTACCTCTGTAGTGGCCCTCCCCCGAATCAGTCAAGAAAGGAAATTCAACGTGGTATTATACGGGATTGATGAGTACCCCAGAGGAACTTCTAGACCTTCTCGGTTACAAGGAGATTTGAACAAGGCTGTTTCGCTTCTATCAGGGCTAGACAACTCCATCAATTCCCAATCTGTAAAGGACGTGTTCCGTCTTGGCAAATTCTCCGCCGAAAAAAAAAAAACCGGCCCCTTTTAGTAAAGTTTATCCGTGCAGCTGATGCACAAAGTGTCCTCTCCAAAAGAGGATCTCTAAGAAGTTCACCTATCTTCATTAAGCCTGACATGTCCCCAACAGAGAAAAGGAGTGAGTCAATGCTCTTGAAAGAAAGATGGTCACTCATCCAGTCAGGTGTTCCCCGTGAAGTTATCAAAATCCGTGGTTCTCGTCTCCTTGTCAGTAACAAGCTACATGGCCAAATAAGGGTGTCTGGTACCTCTCTCTCCTTTTGTCTTCACAACTCCAGTGGAGGTGTTCACAACAACGCTGTGCTCGCTTCACCTCCCATTGTTCAAACACCAGTACATACAACTCCTTTGTTGCAGTCACAATTAGACACTTCTACAGTGGCCCTAGATGTTCTCAGTAGCTCTGAAACAGCCAATGAACAACCTCCTTCTCACCAACCACAATCCATACCTTCCCATCCATCACAACTCACAGCTGGGTCTGACCCAGAACAATGACTACCCAATAAAATTCAAGTTTGTTATCTTAATTCACGCAGTCTCGTCAATAAAATCTCTAAGTTCCAAGCTTTTGTCTACTCCTCCCCGTACAATGTCATCTGTGTCACCGAAACTTGACTCTCTGACTTTATTTACGACAAAGAGATACTTCCTATTAAATTTAATATTTTTCGAAATGATAGAGAATCACGTGGAGGAGGAGTGCTCATAGCTGTTAATGAAGATATACCATGTATTACAATTCCTAATCCTCCCAATTTGGAAGTAATAGCAATCAAACTCTGCCTTCCAGACAAGCAAGTTTCTATTTGTACAGTTTATAACCCTCCAAATCCCAACATACAATATTTTGAGAATTTGATCACCTTTCTAACATCTCTTGTATTACACGAAACCAACCTTATTATCATCGGTGATTTAAACCTGCCTGATATTGCTGGCCTTCTCTCTCTGGTAGTTCTTTTCTTTCCAATCTGTTCTGTGATTTTGTGTTTGAAACCAACCTTACCCAGCTCATTTCTGGTCCTACACATGTTAAAGGAAATACTCTAGACATTCTTCTTACTAACAAGTCACCCAAGTATCCGTGTTGAATTCCCCCTCTCTCTTGCTCTCTGACCACTATAGAATCTGCTTTCACATCGACAATTACTCTTCATCACCTAAGCGATACGAATCAAAACTAGTGTTCAATTATGCCAATGCTGATTTTGATGGGCTAAGTGATTTCCTGCTTGATTTAGACCTCAGTTGTTGTCTACAGTCTAGTTCTGTGGAGCTCGTCTGGTCACACCTAAAGAATTCCATACTAAAGGGCATGAACTTATTCATTCCAAAAGTGAAAGTGAAGTATAAGAGGTATCCTTGTTGGTTCAATTCCGAGATTAGACACACAATTAAGCGCCTGCGTTCTGCAAAGAAAAAACATTCTTCTCCAACTAAGGTTCATTCTCTTGAAACCTACCTTTCTCAACTCATGGTCAACGCCAAACTGAACTTCGAACACAATCTAGCTTTCCAAACCTCTGATATGATCTTTAAACATTTGAGAGGCCTATCATCCTCCCGCTCAATACCCTCAATTGTCACACTGGATTCATATACTGGTTCTAGTGACTATGAAAAAGCATCTATTTTTAACAATTTCTTCCACTCAGTTTTCACCCAGAGCACCTTTCAGCTACCTCCCATAGAAGATTTGCACACCCCTACATCTACTCTATCTGATATAGGTATTTCAGAACTGGATGTGTTTGAGGCTTTATCTACTCTTGATACATCCAAAGCCATGGGAACTGATGGTATCGGTTCTAAGATTCTTAAACGATGTGCACTTGCACTGTACAAACCCCTTCACCACCTATTTCTCCTAAGTCTGTCTCAACACTCCCTTCCCTCAGATTGGCGTATGCACCTGATTATTCCAGTTCTCAAATCTGGAGACAAGTCATCCGTGCGAAACTATCGTCCAATATCTCTTCTCTGCTCTGTATCCAAAATCCTGGAAAGGCTGATCTATGGCAAGATAATCCCATTCGTATCTACATCTATCTCTTCTTGTCAATTTGGTTTTCGTCCAAAGCATTCCTCGACGCAACAACTACTGATCTTCTTAAACACCGTTCACACTATTCTAGACACCTACTCACAAGCTGATGTTGTCTACCTCGATTTTAGGAAAGCATTTGACAGTGTGCCTCACAATGAACTTCTCATGAAGCTCTGGTCTTTTGGTCTAACAGGAAACCTGTGGAAGTGGTTCCGGTCCTACCTGTCTGGTAGATCCTACTAAATCAGTGCACATCTGACTTACTTCCTGTTATCTCAGGTGTTCCACAAGGTAGTATCCCGCTCCTGTTCCTGATATTCATCAATGACCTTCCTCTGTCCATCAGGCATTCCCACATATTCCTTTACGCAGATGATACCAAACGTCTCAAGAATGTCTCCTCTCAATCTGACTCTCACTCTTTGCAAGATGACCTTTCTAATCTATTTTCCTGGAGCCTTCAGTGGAATTTACACTTCAATGAAAACAAATGTGTTTTACTCCGTCTTTGTCCTAAACACCCCCGTGTCCTCCATGACTACACAATCAATAGCTCACCAATTCAAGTCCTTGATTGCTATCGTGATCTAGGAATCCTGATATCTAGTGACCTGAAGTGGGACAATCACCTGACAATGATCACTGCTCGGGCCTACAAAGTTTTAGGCCTAATTCGGAGGTCCTTCTCCAAGGGCCTATGTATTTCAGCCAAGAAAAGATTATATTCATCTCTCGTGCGCTCTCAACTAAACTATGCTTCCCAAATCTGGAGACCTTACCTCATCAAAGAGATTGTTGCTCTGGAAAGAGTACAACGACGTGCGTCCAAGTTTATCCTCAATGACTATCAATCAACTTACAAGCACCGCTTAATATCTCTGACAATCCTCCCTCTTATGATGCAACTTGAGCTGAATGACATTCTATTTTTCATTCGCTGTCTCAAGGAGCCTGACACATCACAAGCTTTTCAAATTCAATCCTTCATGAACTTTTCCAAAGGTAATACCCGCTCCACTACTTATCTTGAGTTGAATCACTCCTCTTCTAAAACATCTTCTGCAGCCCACTTTTATTTTAACAGACTCCCTCGGCTATGGAACTCTCTCCCTCCGATAAACTTGGAACTATCTCTCCAATCTATCAAGAGTCATCTCTTACAATTCTTTTGGAATCACTTCAAAACCAACTTTCAGAGTACAAATCCATGCACTTTTCACTTTCTTTGCCCATGCGCTAAGAGTTCCAGTACATCAATAACAACCTGTTTCTCTTCAGTTACTACGTCTTAGGACACCAGTACTCCCAAACTGGTGTTCCTTCAGTACACTTCTTTATAATTACCATTCATTTCTTATTTATAGCATCCTATTTTATAGATCGCATTGTGTACTGTAAAGCTTGAAAATAAAATAAAAGAAAAAGAAAAAGTAACAAGCATGTTTTACTAGTTGTCCTTACACATTCGTTGCTCAGTGCTGATTTCTTGAATTCTTCTATAACCACTTTATTCTCAACAAAAGAGCGCATGTGCTCTGGTCCTGATTATGTGCTTATTTCTATCACCATAAAAAGATCAAGGTTTTACCTTCCCACACTATCTCATCATGACCACGGACACTCTTCCAATAGAGCATACAGAAGCTATGTTCCGTTGGGGAACTTCGTTTAACCCATCCAGAACACTGTAGATATACTGACAGTGTGATTTACTGAGAAAATTTAACACAACTCTACCTTCTTCCGAATGTTATTCCAATACCGTGAATTGATTCTCTGAAGCTATACACAGAGGTGTTAACCACAGTGTAACAAAAAAGGGCTAACATACAAGTTGCTTCTTTCTTTTTGTAGATACATGTGTCAGTGATAACATTGCAGTGAGCCTGTTATAGTGAATTAATATAGAGAGACTGACAGAAAGCTTATTAATTATACCTGCTCAGTCTCCATATCGTCAGGAGCATCTTCTGAGAAGTCTAAATCATACGTCATCTGTAAATGCACCTTCTGCACTCACCATCTCTAGTGTTTTCCATATTTCTAGAAGTGCCTCAAGCTATCTTGCAGTTGGAATACAGTCTCACATGGCACAATTCAGTGAACTAAGGGTTATCAGTAACTCCACCCTTTGTAGCACATATTTGGCTGCACTTACCTTGTACTAAAACTAACACACTGGTCAGTATGTTCCACCAAATTGAACATAACTAACATCAGATGTAAGGCACTTTAGGTCCAACAACTGACACTGGAGTTCCTTATTTCAGTCTTGACCACTTATTGTTCAAGACTTTAGTTAATGACAGTTGGGATCTAGCAGACACTGCGGTTCCTTACTGCAGTCCAGCTGCAAGTCTGTTATTATCATTCTCACATTGCATAACAAAGATTAACATAATAAGTAAAGCATGTCAGATGAACACATCTTCTAAGTTTGAGTGTTAATGCATGGCAATTACTATTCAGTCAGTTTTTTAAAAACATATGAAAGTGCGCGGTCAATGTGCATATAATGTTCTTCTGTCCATTGTTTTCTCCACAGTTCCTCGTAACAAAGCATTGACCTTTCAAGATGTACAACTTGTTTCAAAAGAAGCAAGGGGAGGTTGACACTAGTGCCAATTGCAACTCCATATGTGGTGATTACATTGATATTCTTCACACCTTGTGGGTCATTCTTGGCTAGTTGGTGCAGTTGAGATGTTGCACAAACCAGCATATTGGCCTGCAGCTGCTTGCGCACCTCGTCTTCTGTAGCTACAGACAGGAACTTGTTCTCAATCGTTGCTGTGCAGCGGAGCTCACCATGCACAACTGCCTGATCCTCGTCATCATCCTCATCTGTGTTAGTGTGCAAACATGCTGAAACTGTGGAAGTTTTTGCATGGATATAAATGTCTCCCCCCCCTGTAAATGGAGAGAATCTGTTTGAATCCCTCGGTGCACGAAAAACTTGAAGAGGGAGGTGTTCATTGTTGATGATCCCTTCCAGAGCTGCAAGAAGCTTATTTGTTCGTGTAGCCTCCTGAGTCTTACTCAGATTTGGGGTAGCACTCACAGGATGTAAATTCAGCTTACCCTTGACCATTGTGTAGTTTGCACTTCTGAGAAAAAGATATGTGCTTCCCATTCCCCTCATGTTGGAAGGTGCTATTTCAGGCAAGCCTATAGAGTTCGTTGGCTTCCCGATAATTGGGAACTGCTTGTGATGCTTACTTTTGGTGAAACTACACCTCGATGTGTTTTTATATGTGAACATGGCCACATTCTTGGGGGCTCCAGACACGAACACGAATTCCCCTTGCAGGGTTTTTGGTAGTGGAGAATTCTGTTGCCTAGCGTATTTAGCTACCTCCTTCACACTTAAGTGTTCCTTGTTAGGCAGCTTCAGCTCCTTCTTGCACACTACAAGCCCACACATGAGCACAGTGGTGTCATAGAGCTGGAATAAGGGAATGTGTAGTAGTATACTAAATTTAGAATTTAAAAATGTGCAAATGCCTGCAGTGGTACACATGCACATAAAATTGATGGGCCAGGCCTCACACCACATGCTGGCTCTAACGTGGGCTAGGTAGGTGCAGCAGTTGGTAGCATTTACAGTGACACTACCATACCTCTCAAACCCTTGTAGCAAAATTTCCATTATTTTTCATGCTCTTGCAGCAATGAAGCTGTTGGTATCGCTTATAAGGCCTATACAATTGTAAAAACACACAGACATAGTGTAGCCAGAGCACCACAACACCCAGCCCTGAATGTGGTAGCTAGCCGGAGTCACCACACTGACTCAGTTTTCTGTTGTCACCCTGTATGCTTGCCCCAGCCGGTATACCTCATGTCGTACACTCACATCCATTCACTCTATAAAATCTCACACAAATTATGCTAAGAGAGCTCAAATCCAAAGTCCCTGGTTGAACTTGTATGGCTGCTAGCGCACTAACGCCAAACCAAAGAGCACTCTGGGTCTAGAGTGTTACAATACAAACAAACCAAGTACCAGAAACCCTCGCTGCACATGCGCGCCAAGGGTTAATTACCTAGCATATACATACCAGTTCATCTGTCTCCTCATCAGTGACCTCTTCTTCATCTGTTGTCACCTGGTCCTTAATGCTTCCATGGTAAAACATTCGGGACGAACGACAAATGACCCAACTCGCTCCCATGAAAACGAAGCGAGGTAAGGGTGGGGTAAGGGCAATTAAGGTTACGGGTATGCATTCCGCTTAATTAAATATTCATAAATATGTTGCGCTTTTAACGGATGTCAGAGGTTTTATTTGGAATGTGTAAGAAGAGTGGTAAAGCAGGTAGCGGCAAGTGCAGATTTTTCATGTCAGTTTTCACCAAGAGAGCACGAGCTGGTGCGCAGCTAGCGGCACCTATGTGTAGCTCTAGTCCTAGTATATGGCCGGAGTGGATGCTTACTAGGCTCCAATGCGTGATAGCCTGCCAAGGGTGTAGAGTCGGCAGTACCGCACGGATAAACGCGCAAAAAAAACTGTATCACCGCTACCCTTCCATGTCGCAAGGCTTGGTTTTGATATTTCTTTCACTCTGGCCTTATATTAATCTTCGGTGAATAAGAGTGCGCAGTGTGTGCATCTGTCACTTTAGTATACACTGTGCCCAAAAGTTGACGTTAAAAAATGCACATTGCATTTTGCGTACTTAATCCGTATAAATATGTGCGTGGGCGGAATGCATACCCGTAACCTTAACAGCACTTCTGTAGTTGCTCTAGCTGCAAAAAAATCACCACCCCAAGCCTTGTTAGAGCAAAAGATAATGGAGAGATTAGAGTTTGTTGATTCAGCAAATACCATTTGAGCCCCTGTCCTATGAACATCCTTTACAAAGGGCTTACAGCTGATTCCTGCTCTTCATCCATCCTGACCCGTTTAGCAGGTACATCGCTGCCAGATTTATTCCTTAGCCGCAAAGCTCTTGAAGAAGAGGGAGAGGGTTCCTCATCGTGGCGGAGGGACATTGTGCTTTAGTGGAGAGAGACAGGGATGACTACCAGTACGATTTTGATAAAATAGCATTCTCTGCATTGACCTAACCAGGTTCTGCAGTCGGAGGTGCCATGCCTGGGGGATAGTTTAACATTGCAAACACGGTACAGAAGCTATTTAGCTCTGAATGTCCCGTAAATCTGTCATGGATCATGTGGTTTACTAGTAGCATGTTTCCCACAACATATTGACTACAGAGCAGATTCAAGATCCCAAAAACGGGTGTGTACAATTATTTATACACAGTACAGTTGCACTGTAAGAAGATGCTCTTACACATCTCAACCATGGAGTATAGGCTTGGGAATGGGAGGCTCTTAGACTTGTCTCAACATTAACTAGCAACGAAATGCTGATGCAAGGTTGATGGACAAGAATAATTGATTTACTATATACAAGACATCATAGTGAGAACCTACTTATGGCTGCAGCGAAAAGCACTAAAGTGCAAACCCTCAGCAACTCACATTTTGTATATTGTGTATGTGTAAGAAACACCACTAGTCGAAGGGCCAGGTCATGAGATCACCAACTGGTGTTCATTTATCACTCTAATGAATAGCACTAAAGTGCAAACCCTTGGCGCAAAAGGAATGCAAGTCCTGACAGAGCAAGTACATACGTGAGCATCGCGCCTGGGCCAGGTCACGCATCCCCAGCGGTCAATTGAGACTTTAGAGAACAGCACACTTGATACACGACTACCTTGATTCTTCTACAATGCAGTGTACAGGATGCTCTCCCGGCCCCTATTCTTGCCAGGTAAGGGGAAAGCAGGCAGGCACACAAGCTAGCTAGATCGAGGAGGCGGGAACCTTTGCGTGTGTAAGTACGCATGCTCACGACTAATTGATGGGCTGGGCCACGCAACGCGGTCCATGACGGTGCCAGTTTCTCAAATGCCGCAGTTTTAGCAAACGCTTAATTTTCGAGCGCTTGTTGCACTGAAGCTGATGGTTATCGTTCATAAGCCGCCTCGTTGCCTGAAGTGTGAGAATAGCCCCGGACAGACAGACAGACACACACACAGACCAAGTACCGTAACCCTCGCTGCGCATGCGCACCAAGGGTTAATGATAAAGTGCCACAGGGAGTATCATGTGCATAACACTCCAATTGCCCTGAGACTATCACTTGTACCGTCACTAGCTACGGCTAACAAATTGCGGTAAACATACCCACACTGTTATGTATATACTGTAGCCAGGTATAATGGCTCCGTTCCCTCGTAATATTTGTTTGCTCTGTATAGTCATCTTTGCCAGCATTACTCTAAATGGAGCACACCACTACCACTCATTATGATACCACTCAAGCTAATTGCACTCAAGTAAATTAGTCTCCTTGACAACAAACAGTGGTATAACCTGATAGTATTCCTTCAGTTGAGAACGCATGGGGTGGGGTGTTAACGTTAAGAATTTGAACCCGACTTCGAAGTCAGTGTGGGCATTACCAAGCCGACTTCTGAAGTAGGGTGGAGTGCGTTTACATTTTGGTAGGTTTAGCGTTCCATAGATGTGGTGCTGTTCAAAATTTTTCTCGAATTATAGGCTAGCACACATGCGCTAGACAAAAAGTCAGCAGGTATGTATACGTAGTGTGTGGGGTGGTGGTTGCCAGTGATTTCTGTGTACACATTAACAGTGAAAAGAGTGTCTTATGATAGGAATATAGGAATATAGTGATGAACGAACGCCGTTGACTTGGCAGGACCATGGAAGAAAGCCTGAGAACAAAGACTAAATGTATAGGGAAACGTGTCTCGTTTCCTTATCATACGCAGTGTATAGCACCCCCACAAACCACTCTATTATTCATGCACCCCGCGTGGAACACACTCGATCTCTTGGTGGTGTGGAATCGCCAACAATTCCATCGTTTCTGCCCAGAACGTCCACCAGAGAGCCTGAAAAACACGGCGTATCATCGGCCATCGCGCTATGGTTTCCACGTGCGCATGCGGGAGGGGGGCGGAAGGTCCAACGGTCCAGTCCATCAGTCCAGAGTCCAGGTTTTACACCTACCCCTCCTGAACATACCCTCATACCCACAAGAAAGCCAGAGAGTCAAGAAATAGGCAGTGACAGTTGTTGCAGACTTAAGGGAGGTTGGACTTTTTGCACATGCTGTTCTATAATAGCACAACAGACCAGACCCCAGAAGGACCATAAAAGATGTAATGTTGGTCTGTATTTTTACATGCATATCAACAATAGTGTATATACTTACTCTCCCAGTGACAGCAAGGTGTGTGAGTACCACCAGAGTCCCACCCTACAAAGGGGGGGCGGATAGTTAAGCCTCGGCGCGCATGCGCGAGGGTTACGGTAGTTGTCTTGTGTGTGTGTGTCTGTCTGTGTGTGTATCTGTTACCGCTCTAGCTGCTTCAGCGTCCGTTTATATCCGCAAGCAACGATACACACGGGTTTCTCGTAGGCTTTACTTGGATTTTGACTCGTGGATTTTCGAAAAAACCTTCCGTTCCAGAGTTATGGCGTGAAACGGCCAATATGCAAATGAGTTGGAGCTCACCGCGAGCCGTTTTCGCGCACTTTCGGGATCAACAAAAAGCAGGAACAACTTGAGCGACAACTGGTCGGTGGAAAGTTGCTTCAGACGCTATCTACTGGTGCAACCGGCCAAAGACCGGCGAGATACTGCGCTGCATAAGCCGCGCTCTAGAGAGCAGCTACTATTCCTTTGCGCATGCGTACTCGACGGGCTGTTGGAGGGACGAACTTAGTTGGAGAACCAGTCCACCGGTTCCGCTAGCCTGTGTCAGAGCGAGCTGTCCGACGACGGATATATACTTCGTGGCGCGTGGCGGCCCGGCCCTTGCGTGTATTAGCCTCGTGTAGCCAGGCCTTTGTGTGGCTCCGTGAGGCTACTATGTGTGTATATATACGCATAGCCAAGTATTGTGCGTTTCAATGTTGCAACAACGCCGAGGGTTTGCACTTTAGTGCTTTTCATTTTATTGTGCAATCATATTAGGGTCTAGGAAGGGAGGCAATGAAAAAGGATGCACAGCACACTCCCAAACCAGGGGTATAGATATTATGAGAAACGTGAGGTAAGGCGTTATCTTGCAGCGAACGAGTGAGACCTTGCCTACGCTAGGACTAGGATCTCAATCGCACCAGTCTAGTGTACACACTCACGGACCTCGTCTAGCTGGATGCTGTCCCACGGACCTTGTCTAGGTGAATAGAGCTGTACAGTATGTACTTCTCTCCCAGTGACCGCAAGGTGTGTGAGTACCACAAGAGTCCCACCCTACAAAAGGGGTGGGTGTCAGCCTATCCACGCACTCTTTATTGGACGATTACCTAAAACCACCACCTATTTTCCGTCCCTCCTGCCCCCAATCTCACCCCCAAATCAACTGGAGTGTACGGACCAGTGCGTAACAACTTCTGCACGTGTTCTACACGCGTACGCGGATCGTATACTTGCTGGCCCGGTCACCCCAGCCCTGGCCTAATGCCCTAGCGACTAGCCCTAGCTTCCCTTCAGCCTAGTCTTACCTCCCCACGTGCGTAGAACGCGTGCAGAAGTCGTTACACGCCAGGTCCGTACACTCCAGTTGACCATTTCAAGAGGAAGAAACGCTTGGTTACATACACCCACTACCCACTTACAAGATGGCGTTACTTCTTTTAGTCCCCTAGGCTAACTTCCCCACTGGCGCTGGGCATGCTGGCAGAATAAAGGAGTTTTTACTGCTTTACTTGACGTCTAGAGCTATCCCCGGAAGTGCTTGCGTAGCCATTGCCTAGCAACCAAAGTTTCAAAGGCTAATTTCTGGCCGAGGGAAGGGTGTGGCTTACTGGAAAAGTAGGCCAATGATGAAAGGGGATCAACAGCTAACAAATAATTAGTTGCAATCCCTTAATTGGGGTGCATGAGATGCATGGTCGAACTCATTGCTGATAGGATGGGAGTGAGTGGGGCGAATCGTGGGCGGGAGGAAGTAGCTTTGTCAGGTTTTTTCTTCTACCTCCCGTCCTTTCTTTACAGTGTCTGTACTGTTCAGGGATGCTAAATATTTTGTGAATTTGTAGCTTCTTTTAGTGTATCACAAGCTGCTTAAATCATAATGGTTATAATAATTAATAATTGTGAGTCAAAATATCAATAATCGTCAAGTAGAGAAACAAGCTCCGCATACAGCAACACAGCATCTCTTATAGAGTCAGGAAAGAGTAGACCACGGTGTACCATCAATTCATTCACTGCCTGCAGAAACTCAAGGGATGCAGGAGGGACCGGTTCCTCTGCATAATCTCTGCACACATGCACATCATGGTGGCTTACAGCACAAACATAATTGTTCGTTCCTGCACATACATTGTATATAGGATTAGACACATGTGAAGAGTTGGCATCAAACCTTGTACTTCAGGAAGAAAGTATAGTTCATTTGGTACTCCTGCAGGTACCAAACAGTGTTTGCTCGAACGTATTGTAGAGGTAGTTGGGCCCTTTTAATTTAATGAATGCGCATGCGTAGACATAAGCGGCAGTATGGAAGAATAGAAGAATAGAAGGATAAAAGGATAGAAGGATAGAAGAATAGAAGGATGGAAAGATGGAAGGATGGAAGTTCGCGTAGAACGGAAGGATGGAAAGATGGAAGGATGGAAGTTCGCGTAGAACGGAAGTATAGAATGGCCCTTCTGGGCTTCCGTACTTATGGGCTTTTCCGTAGATATGCGTGCGCACCTCCGGCAAATTCGGAGACGTTCTGTGAAAAAATCAACGCTTCAAGTACTTCCGGTAAGGAGCTAGCGGGTCTGAAGAAGAAGGAGAAGAAGATGAAGAATGATGTTGATGACACAAAAATCGTGAAATCGCGTATGAGCGAATTCTCGCGTGGACGACTGAAGGTTCGTATGAGGTCTTGGGGGATATGAGCCCGTAGACTATTGCTAGTATGTTTTTGAAGACCTAGGGAGTGATTCTCACCGAGTTTTTAGTCGTTTTGTACGCGGATCACGTGAGATTTCACCTCTTCAGTCACGAATTCGGCTTCTGCGCCCGATCGGCGTTCCAGCAACTCTCCCGAATGCATGCGTAAGGTAAGGGCGGGTAATTTGGAATAGCGGGTAATTCGGAATAGCTATTGCGGCGGCGAATATTTTACTCAGAGCTGGATGTCACTATTACTACAAGTAGATGTGGATGTTAGCTTCTGCATACCTGTGTTGCGCTCTCATATTCTCATAAATTTCGCCGCCGCAATATAATTATAGCTATTCCGAATTACCCGCTATTCCAAATTACCCGCCCTTACCTTAATTCTGCTCAAATCGACACACCCCTTTCATCCCGCGCACGCGCGCTGTGGCGATCTTTGTTTCTGCCGTTTTACAGACCAACGCACAGCCTCTGTGCCTGCCTTTCATCCTGCTGAGATATTTATGACATGTCTCACTCAATCCGGACCTTGTTGCTTCTTTTATATAAACTTCTCATTATAGCTGTATTATAACTGGTCAATCGTTAAACTACATATGCTATACTCAATTTCCCATAATTATAATGCCGTTAGAGCGGTTGCACATAATATAAGTCAATGTAATTATGAAACATTGCATAGATATGATTACAATCATGAGCTACTCTTCATAGTGTGATAATGGAACAGACACATGAACAAGATCTAAACCAAATTCGAATTGCATGGAAAGTGCATTTGAAAGGGCACATCGACAAATGATTCTACTGACTGGTATAAAATTAATGAAGCTGAACTTTCCTGATCTGATACCGTGGAACAGACTATAACTGAGGGATGGAAATAATGACGGCAGGGATGATCTCCTAGCCACTGTACTCGGGCAAGCAGTTTTTGAAGAAGGTTCACTGTCTAGAGTTACATTATGCTCAATGAAAGATAATTATTACCTGGCCAATTCACACAGGTGTGTCTAATGCCACGCCACTTAGCTGAAATTGCAGAAGATCGTTGGGAATGTGAACTTTGTGAAATGTATTCTTCTCCATTGATGAAACATTTTTTGTATTCACTGTAAAATGTTGATATCTTTGATTTATTCACCATAGGATATAATAAATCACTTAAATACGCCATCTCATCGTTATGAAAGCACTTTTCCTTGTATCGAGGAACAAGATATTCATACTTAATATTCAAGCGGTCGTGCTCCAGCCTTGCCTCAAGCTGTTCATTCTGGTGCATCATTAATTTTACCATGGTGGTAGCAGCTCAAGGTTTGACTATAACATGATGGGTAAATCAAAAAATGTTCATTTAGCTACTCTCTCAGTAACCTTACACCCGCCAGTTCAACATGTGCTAGCCTGTCGAATAAGTATGTAGCTCTAATAGACTGCTGTGCATAGCTTAATAACTCTACTCACTAGCAACAAACGATCCTGGATACCAGGGGAAACTATTCCAACATTCGTCCCTGATTCACCCCTTGCCTTCCACACCCACTCACTCTTCTACTGCTACTGAAAATCTCATTGATATGTTCCATGCATTTCAGACTGGTATAGATGTGCAATTGTCTTCAGTTGTATCTACTCTTAAGGAGGTAGCTGAGAGAATAACAAGGCTGGAGTCTCAACAGTCTCAACTGGAAAAGGAGGTGAAAGAATCATCAGGGAAGTGGTCTACATCAGCCTCTCCCCTAAAGCCAGGCAAGTGTAGAAGAGAAGTTCCAGCACCCCTGCAGGTACTTTGGCATTTGCATTCACTGCCTTATGGTACTGCATTCACTGCCTTATGGTACATATATACTAATGCCTTTACAGAGCAAGATAAGGTGTGTCCATGCCTCTTTTGATGATGATAAGCAACTTGACGTTTCTATGCCGTAAGTTTGTATATGATGGTGTTCATGACAAAAATGTTTCTCTTTCTGTTGACAGAATTGACGGTGAATTCAATGCCAAAGTTGTTGATGCTATTGTTCAAGCCATTGGGACTGAAAAATTCAAGGAAACACTAATACGCAGTAAGGTTTTAGATGCACCAAAGTTAATGATTTCCACATTAATGTTTAGAGGGTGTTGCAGCACATAGGAAGACCCTAGTTGCAAAGGGAAAGGCACCCAAATCACCAGTGAAAAAAGAAAAGGCAGTGATCGAGACAGCAAAGAGTAAGTTGTTCTGCATAATGCATGCAAACTTTTACAACTATTTTGTGTTTGTTCAGAGCTATGAACGTAGGGGTAGTGTTCTTAAGCCAGGAAGAGAATCTGAGCTGTGGAAAAATGTGACAGCTGATATGATGTCTGAAGAGGAAGAAAAGGGAGGGAGTTATAATTATACCTTCATATGGTTCTAAGTCCTTTAACAAATTCATTGACAAGTTAGACGAACGACTTAGTTCGAAACATCCTAAACATCCCCGCCTGGAACGAAGACTTGGCCACCTAGCAAGCCCATACCAGAGCACTGCAAGAAGTGGATGGTGGCAACAGCAAATGAAGTCAACAATGAGCGAGGACAATGGCGAGGGCCACGACAAAGACCGCGACAGTAGTGACAGCAATGAAGAAGTGCTTTCAGAGACGGAACCTATATAGCTTATATGCTGTTATGAATTGTGGAATGCATTAATTGTACATGTGGAATTTCAATGATGCAATTGGCAGTAACAATGGAATGTGCAGTGGTATAAGCTTGATATACGCTTAGTATCGTGATCAAACCCACTGCTATAAACTTTCTATACACTACCTAATATTTGAAATGTAAGGCAGCTTATATATACTCAGTGTCTTATATCCGTTCCTATAAGAAAGTATAAGCCAGTACCACCATTGTTATTAGAGAGGCTTAAAACATGCTTAAACTTTTTGAATAAGCCGAATATATATAGATAGGATAATATTAGACAGCTAATATTTATAGTTTTCACAGTGTCTATTCTGGTAAGGATCTGACGGAGAGAGGGCTGTTACCTGTTCTTTGTAGCTATCTCAGTGATTTCAAAATCAGATCCACAATGATGGCAGTATTGCAGAATGTACAACTAGAAAGAATGCAATTCATTTTGGTGACTGAACACGCAAGTTACTGGCACATGCAGCAACGATTGTACGTACTTAAAATCACGTAGAACATTGTGGATAAAAACATTAATAGCATAATATATACACTTAGAAGCACGACAACTAGATCGGCTAGCTTTGCTCGCCACTAATAGTTAATAATATCGTAATAGGGTTACAGCTTTCCTTCAGCCTCTTCATAAAGTGGGTTTTTCTTCACTTCATCGTCAGATGTATTGATCCCAAACTCGAAAAACCTCTCTGCAGTTGGGTTATCATATCCACCAGCTAATCCATTGACCTTGTAAAGCCCTGTCTTGCGGATACGGTAGCTACAAAAAACAAACGTAAGTATTCAGACGCAAGTGCTAAATAAATGTATATATACTGTTGCTTACAAGAGGAATGCGGCTGTTACGACAACTGCAGCAGTCACTAGCAGAGCAGCAACGACGATGCCAGCAATTGCTCCAGTAGAGAGACCTCCAGAGCTGCTAGCATCTCCACCACCTTGTGGCTCGCCACCAGACACCCTTTCAACAACCACCGAACTGAAACCGTAGTTCTTGTAGATGTCAGACCCATTCTGTGTGCAAATTTTGGAAACCCTGTCATAATGCTTTTACAATTACAACTCTTTTCCACCTGGATGCTTGCTAGAAGAGAGTCGCCATCCATGACTTCACCGGTCGCAGTGACAACATAAATTACAACAGATATGCCGTCACTGCTGTCAAACATGTCAAGGAATCCAACATCATTGCTGTCTATTTGTAGTAGCTCTTTCCTACGTGAACATTTGGGGATACAAACTTTATTGTGGGCACCATAATAATGTACAATAGTGGGAACTCAGCAAGAAAACATTCACAGATTTTGTATTCGTGAAAGGATTCTTACAATATATTGTGTGGTCAGTGAACAAAATTTTTTATTGCTGGACATGCAGACTATTAGTATTTTAATAGTTTGTTTCCAAATCCGATAATGTTTCTCCCTCAAAGTTTTCCAGTGTTACAGTATGGTGTAAACTGCTTACTTGGTGACAGTTTGACAACCGTATTTTGAACAGTACTCGTTGACTGCTTCCGCTGTTGCCTTTTTGAAGAGTAGTTGAACATCAGCAGTGAACTAAAGTGTGGAGTGAAAACTAAAAGTAGCTAAACCCAAAGTGAAATATTGCTTACATTCTTTTCGTTGTAGTCGGCTAGAGTCACTTTTACACTGTTTTCTTCAATGACAGAAGGTGTTTGTGTCTCAACAGGGGTCGATCCTGGAGTCATTGTCTCAGTGTTAGTTGTTGGTGGTACAGTGGTTGGCCCTGCTGGTATGGACCCTCGGTCTGTTGTTGAGGCAGGTGACTCCTGGGAGACTGAGCTTGTAAGGGACATTGTTGTGGAAGGCTGAGATGCTGTGGATGGTGGTGCCTGTTGCTGCGAGGTTGGTGCAGATGGAGATGGTTGTTGAGATGGCTGCATTGACGGCCGCTGGACAGATGGCACAGCCCCAGTAGTACTTGGTGTTTGTACTGGTGATATCACAGGTGTTGTTGATGAACTAGTGCGTCCTTCACTCGCAGACACGGTTTCAGTGGCAGTAGTAGAAGTGGGAGCTTGAGGTTGTACAGTTGTGTCAGTGATCCCTGTTGTATGCGAGGAAGTAGGTGATGCGGTAGGAACTTGTGAGAGGCTTGTTGTTGCTGTAGTGTCAGTGTTCCTTCCAGTTTGTGTTGAAGATGGTACAATAGTGTTACTAGTCACTTGAGGCTGGCTTGCAGTTGACATGACCCCAGCTGTGCTACTTGTTGGGAGCTCCCTTGTGCTAGGTGTGACCACTACTGAAGATGTCTCAGCAACTACACACCACCCACAGAGAGAGAAGAGCATTACATATCTGATTAGGTTATGATCTCTTACTTGTCGTGAAGTTGTAAGTTTCACTGAATGTCACTCCTGCAAGGTTTTCAGCCCTTACAGCAAAGTAGTACATTGTGAGGGGTTGTAAGCTCTCCAGCAATATCACGTAAGTGGCATTTGGTGGGTCCAACACCCCTGCTATTATGTCGGTCTGCATTCCCAGGTTGTCTTCCACCAATCCGTATACAATGGAGTAAGCCTCAAAGCCAAATACTGTTCTTGGAACAGTCCAATACACTTGTGCAGAGGTGGAATAGACAATTGTAACCACATTTGTAGGCTGAAGTGGAGGCTCTGTGAATAAATAAGACCATTAAGTGAATACAGATATAATTGTTTTTATCAGACCTGGTGGGCATATGTCCATGAAGTCACTGCAGCAACCCAAGGAGCCTTCAGTACAGTCAGGATGACAGAAACACGTGGGAGGGTATCCCGCACAGTAGCCGTGGGTGCAGCAAGAGGTATAGCCAGCAGCGGTGCAAGTTCCTGTAGTAACATGGCATCTGTAACGATAGATTTCTGCACTTATTATAGTCCTAGCTACCTTGGTCAGGTGGCATCATATCAGAGTCATTCATAGCTGAGTGATAGAAAAATTGTAAAATATAAAAGCCCCATTTGTTGTATTGATAGATAGTACCTCTGCAGCTAAAGTAGTCAGGTGCTAGGGTATAGCCCTCTGGACAAAGACAGACATAGCCCCTGTCATCCGTGCTACTCAGAACACAAATGTGACTGCAGGTGCTGTTTTCGCATGGGTTATCACCTGGGATAGGTGACAGGTATATGAACACAACACTTTATTAAGGGATAGGTCACAGGTGTAATGGGACACAATACTTTATTAAGGGATAGGTTACAGGTGTATAAAAACAAGAGCACTCAAGTGTACCTGGCTGCTGTCTGCTTTCTAAGAGAGCCTCAATTCCAAATGGATCAGAGGAGAAAGTTGCAACTGTCTTGAAGTAACCGTTGTTGCCAGCTGAACCGTGCTGCTTGTGTGTTGCATAAATGGAGTCAGTGACCCAGTCAGTCCAGAACAGGTCATTGTTGGCAACTGTTAGAGCAAATGGGTACAGCAGTCCACTGGCGTCTGTCTCCACAATAAAGCGATTTCTTCCGTCGTAGTCACAGTACTCAAGTCGGTATAGTTCTGAATCCGACCAATAGATCCTCTGTTCATTGTAGTCAATGGTAATTCCAACTGGGTGCGAGATACTACTGCTAATGACGACATGCCGGTCACTCCCATCCATAGAAGCACACTCGATTTGTGGCATCACACCAAGGTCAGTCCAAAACATGTATCTGTGAGAGTTGTAAAACTCTGTGTATAATGTATCTGTTAAAGTTCACTAACCTCGAAAGGGGATCAACTGCAATTGCAGATGGGTTAGTGTTGGGACCAGTCCTCAAGATCTCAGTTCTGTTGAGGTTGTCAAGATGCATTGCCTCTATTCTGGCCCAGGAACTGTCCACCCAGTACAAATTCCCTCCAATCCAGTCCACAGCAATGTCACCTGAGGCAATAAAGCATCATCCACCATGTAGTTTCGACGTGTGTTGTGGGTTGCAGATTGAATGCAGCTGTTCGCAGTACTTACTGACATAGAGGAGGTTGGTATCTACCAGAACCTCTTCTCCTGATCCGTCAATATTTGCAGAGTAAATTTTGGCCGGAACATTGTAGTCCAAATCAGTGTGAGACCAGTACACCTTTGAATTCCTGTATAAAATTACACAAATTCATGTTTAAATTTTTGAAACCGTGCAACATTATAAATGAGGAAATGCATTTCGAAGTGAATTGTTCCTCACTGGAAGTTGATGTCAACAGCCAGAGTATTCTCTGAGAAGTTCATACGTAGTACGTTTGACTCAGTCCCCTGGTAGTGGACAGTAGCCAGTGATGAACCAGTTGCAACCAACAGATCATAAGCAGTCGGTGCTGCATTTGTGACAAATTTTGCATCATCAAAAGTTGGGAATTAATTTCATCACATACCTGTTGTATCTGGGGGAGCATTTTATGACGTGGGTAGTTGAAAAAAAAGCGAGCAGATAAGTGGTGGTAACGTTATACTCACTTGGACAAGTTTCCATAAAATCGTAGCAGCAGTCATTAAATCCCAAACAATCAGTATCACAGTAGCAATCGTCTGGGGAGCCAAGGCAATCCAAACCTTCACAGCACTCTGTGTACCCAGCCTCAACACAGCTCCCTGTACATATTGTGTATCATGCAATAGAGTATTAAATAAATGAGTGCTTTTTGAACAAACCGAGAAAGTTTGAAGGCATGGGGGTTGTTGGCAATATTGTGTTGCCAGGCTGAAGGTCGTAGACAATGTTGTTCCACAAAGAGTACAGGTGTCTACAGGCCACTGAGTCTGCACTGGTACCACTCAGTGGACTATTAACAGGGTCCATTAGTGGTATGTTATAACCAATGGTCGCTGTATTTGGCCATGTCAGCTCTCCACACTTGTACGTGTACACAGAGTAAGACTTTATACCATCAGTTATAACAACAGACTGAAAAGTGTTGCCCTGCAATGGGTATTTGAGTGTGAAGACCTTTACCATGAATCACACTCTACTCACATATTGAGTGACATTCTCCCAGAATGCTACCAACATCAGTGATCCTGTGAAATTAGTACCCTCCAAGGTTTGAATAAACTCATTCACTCTATCCAGCAGCAGCGGTGAGTGACTGACATCGTGAAGTTCCCACGACACTATTCCATTCTCGATTGTGTCCAAGTCGGCCCAGAACGGAGCCAGTACATAGCCCCAGTACACTTCTGGTGACGAGGTGGGAAAGAGCTGGGGTTCTGAGATAGAAATGCTCCTTCCAAATGAGATCAGTCCATTGGTTGAAACCTGGGGATTGACATATTATGTCATCAATGTGTAGACATACACAGCATACAGAAATGGTTGTACATACATAAGCAGACTGATGAAAAGAGCCCCCAAAAGGTACACTGTTTGGAAACATGATTTCAATTGAGTTGCAATCATCACAGAAGTTCAGGGTTCCACTGCTAATGTAGGTATCAGTATGGTTCAGGAATGGCAGATAAATGACTTGTTCTGCAAAAAATAAAGCTATATAATATACACGCTCCACAATATTCCAAGCGTTTACCTTCATCATATGTCCTAAATGACAATATTTGACTGTATCTTGCAACAAACTCGTCAAACACTGCAATGACTCGGAAGTAGTATGTTGTACTGGGCCTCAAGCCTATCAGTGATGTTGAGTACATTTGGTTCATTAGCATTGTATCCATTGGACTTGGAATGGACTCAGTCTCCATGTCCAACAAAGTTTCCTCTGTCCCGTACTGAATGTAGTATTCCTCGGCTTGGGTGAATCTCGGAATAACCCACGAGATTAGAGCATTCATTGTGGTGATGTTTTCAATGGATACTTCCCCTGTAAAGGACATTGCATAAGTAAGTATTGCATACATAATAAAAGAAGGCAAAATGTCTAACTTGGTACTGGGATTTCTGGGTTCTCGTTGCTGAGAAGGTAGTCGACATTGCTCCAGTCACTGAACTGCATGCTGAGACAGGCAATATCGGAAGAAGAGGGACGGTGGTTGTCATAGGGGTTCCCAGCAGCATTGAATCCAATGGTAGCTCCATTGTCCCACTCCATCAGACCACATTTGTACGTAAAGATTGTGTATGAGTAGTTTCCATCAGTAATCAAAATGGCTTGAAAAGTATTTTCCTGCAATACATATCAAAGTAAATAATGATGATACTAATTTTAATAGGTAACCCTAACCTCTGGGTTAACTGTGCCCAGATAAGGATGAACTGCATCGTAGAACACCACAGACATCCACGTTCCTTGAAAGTTTGAAGGCCTCTTCTGCTTCAAGTATGTGTTTACTTGCTCGAGAAAGTACCCCGTCTCATGTATTTCGTAGGAGATTCTCCCATTCCCTCCACCTGTATCAACATCATCCCAGAATGGAGCCACTAGGTATCGTGAAAAGTCAGGAAATGGTTGGTTGAAGTAATAGCCATAGGCAGTGCCAAATGACAAAAGTCCATTTACACCAACCTGTGCGAGTATTAGCATGTAATGGGCCATAGTGTATGTGCCATGCAAATTACATAGAACTGAGTTTGGTTAGAATTTCCAAATGGGAAATTGATGGGTATGACAATGCCATCAGATGTTCCGTTGTTGGAATCAGGGAGTACGGTCTCATCTACTCCATAGGTTACACCCATCGGGATGAATGGCAAGTACACCTGATTTCTGGCCACACCTGTGTTTTCGAGATGAAATGAAAGTTCAATAATTATTCTCTCATTGCCATTTACTCTCAGTAGAGGCTAGAATCTCGTCTGTGGGCGGTCCGTTTCCACCACTGGTAGAAGAAAAGATTGTGCAGGCATAGGGTGTCAATGGCTTTAGCTCATCAAGAGTAATGTTCAGGATGGGTTTTAAACTTGGCAGTGAGCTCTATTTCCCTTCTGACAGAACAGGATAGTGTGTAGGACAGTACTAGCAAGTCCTCTGACGGAGGTTCCCAGGAGAAATGTAAGGAGAGTCCGTCAACAGCAATTGTGAAATTTTTAGGTGGATCTTCCGGTGCTGCAATGAAAAAGTTAAGAAGTACCATACTCTACTTAAAATAACTGGCAGTTTTACCAATTTCAACTGTAGTGAAAGATGCAATATCACTAAGAAGAATGGTAGAACTAAACTCGGCCACAACTGCCAGAAAATACCCAGTTCCCGAATCCAGGCTTTGCAGAGAGGTGGAATAAGTCAGGTTTACCAGGGAAGTGTCAGTGTTTCCCCTGACTCTGGCTGTTTGTAGAATGAGGTTGTACTGGATACTTCCATAGATGATATAGTATTCTTGTGGCTGAGTGACTGAGGGAACGGTCCACGATACTAAGGCACTGTTTGTGGTAATGCTGGCCACAGTGACATCTCCTGTAGTGCGTTCACGTTGGTTTTAAACAATAATGACAAGTTCTCTCATAAACTTACGTGGTACTTCAAACTCTGAGCTGTCGTTGCTCAGGAGGTATAAAATGTTACTCCACACTGAGATGGGTTGATTCACACAGGCCAAGTTGGGAAATGACAGTTCGTGGTTGTCATAGAAGCCTCCAGGAGCATTGAAGCCTATGGTTGCACCACTACCCCATTCCAACAGTCCACATTTGTAGGTAAACACAGTGTAACTGGTAGTTCCATCAGTGATCAGAATCGCTTGAAAAGTATTTTCCTATGTGATACATCATAAGTGAAATGTTTAAAATCTGAATCTACAAATGCAAGTGTTACCCACCTCAGGACTATCTACTCCAATGTATGGGTGTATTGCATCCCAGTAGACCACAGCCATCCATGTTCCTTGGAAGTCTGATGGTCTCTGGAATCTCACAAATGCACTTATGTGATCCAGAAAATAGCCAGAGTCATATATCTCATAGGAAACCACTTCATTTCCTCCTCTGGTATCGGCATCATCCCAGAATGGAGCTACGAGGTAGCGAGAAGATACTGAGCCCGGAAACCTCTGAATGACAAAGCTGCTGTATGCAGTTCCAAATGAGATCAAGCCGTTTGTACCAACCTGTGTTGAAACAATAGGGCACAACCCAGTACATATGTATGCCACTTACAAAAAATTTAGTCTGCAGAGAATCGCTGAAGGGAAAGCTGGTGTTTAAAGGGAGAATAACTGCATCTGATGTTCCTTCATCAGATTCAGGAAGTGTTGTAACACTGGAACCATACTCAACACCCAGTGGAATAAATGGGAGGTAGCTGAAAATCATTAGCAGATCTAGATAAAGTAGAAACGAGTTAGTGTGGGTCCAGATCTGTAGGTGATTTTACCTCCAGTTGTTGCATCAAGAGTGCTTGATGGACCGATTCCCACTGAATTGGCTACTGCTATTGAGCAAGTATAGGTTGTTGCATGTCTGAATAGGTCTACATTCATTTCAAACACAGTTGCTTTTAGTGTCAGCTCAACAGCATTTTCATTGCCACTAGTAGTGCAAGATAAAGAGTAGAAAATGATATCTCCATTCTGTGTGGCCTGCTCTGGTGGACTCCAGGTAAATGTGAGTCTGGTCATGTCCACAGTGACTGAAAAGTTAGTAGGTGTACCACTGGGCGCTGTATGAAAGAAGGCGGGTTAACTTTTCTAACAACAAACTAGACAGTATTTTACCATCTTGTATAGCTGTGAAGTTCAGAACAGCAGTTGATGAAGAAGAGAGAGAGTTTGAAGACACAACTTGGTAATAATAGGTTGACAGTTGCTCTAGTTCACTCAATGTGACCTTGTATGTTACACTGACAGCTTCAAGATCTGAACCATACAATACCTCTGATGTCATTGTGAGGGAGTCTGAGCTTAGGCTGTAATACACTACATATTCCTCTGGAGTGAATATAACTCTTGAGATGGTCCACATGATCACAGCAGTTCTTCCAGTAACATTCACTGCCATCACATTTGTTGCCACTACTGGAGCACCTGGAATAATTGCCACAGATTAGTCAAACATTTTTCAGTTGAGCATTGGCTTACTTTGTGGGCATGTATCATCAATATCACCACAACAGTCTCTGCGCTCATGGCAATATCTGTCACAGAAACAAGTGAATGGGTACCCCGCACAGTAGCCATGTTCGCAACAGCTACTGTTGTAGCCAGCCTCAATACAAGAACCTATGAAATATTGTAGCAAACATTTATTTTGCCATCAACAAAAGTGGGGAACAAATGTTTAAGTACCCCTTACCCTCCAGTGGGACCCCTCCTGAACCGGCAGTATTGTCCACTGTATGTAAAGAAGTCATAATTACACAGTTGGAGCTCAAGTGGAGTTACCTTTGCAGGTGTGTAGATCTTCTTCAAGTGAAAAGCCATATGGACACAGACATGTATAGCCAACATCGCTCATGACACACACATGACTGCAGCCAATGCCTTCACAGGTATCGTTAGCTGTAAAATGTGTCAGAATCAATGGGAATGAATGAATCTCATATCAGATTAAGTACATTGTACCTGGCCCTTGTCTGCTACTCTCAAGTGCCTCAATGCCATATGGAGTTGAGGTGAAAACGGCAATCTCTGTGAAAAGTCCCTCACTGGTTTCCACCCCATACTGTTTATGAGTAGCGTAGAGTGTGTTAGTGTCCCAGTCAGTCCAATACAAGACATCTCCAGCAATAGTCAGACTGAATGGATATCCCAACCCAGCATCTTCTGTCTCTAAAGTCATTCTCTCGGATCCGTCATAGTTGGCATACTCTATCTTGTCCAGGTCTGAATCTGCCCAGTAGATCTTCTCAGCTATGTAGTCAACTGTTACAGCATTTGGCTGAGAGAGACCTGTGTCTACAATAGTACGTCTTCTACTGCCGTCCATGAAAGCTTGCTCAATCTTGGCAACTTCCCCCCAATCAGTCCAGAACATAAACCTTAGAGGTACAAATAAATAATGAGTCAGTGATGTTTTACTTGGCTGCCAAGAACATATTCTTTCAACAGTGTATTGCCAAGGTTAGAAATTAATTTGTCACTTGTCAAAGGTTCATCAAAGGTACATGTATGGTAATCATTGAAGGGACCATTATTTTTTTATATATACCATCCTAGCTTGCCCTAATCTTTGGATCAACCCTATCATACCTCATATATGGCTCAACAGCAATAGCTCTTGGATATGTGTTTGGTCCAGTCCGAAGTACTTCTGCCTGATAGCGTCTGCGCAGATCAATCACTTCAATTCTTGCCCATGCAGCATCGACCCAGTACACATTACTGGACACCCAGTCAACAGCCAAGTCATCTGGAAATTCACAAGCAATGAACATACGTAAACTATTACTCAATCTACTAACCAACAGCATTGATATTTCTATCCACAAGTACTTCTTGTAGACTTCCATCCAGTTCTGCTCTGTAGATGACATCATTATCTGTGTCAGACCATACCATGAATTCATCCCTGAAAAAATAAGCACATTAAGAGGTCAAGTTAAAAACTACCCTATTGATTTGGCTTACTCATAACTGAAGTCAATTCCAACTGCAGTTCCAGATGTGTTAGTGAGTATAAGATCAGAGCTGTTTCCCTCAAAGTGAATTTGGTGAATATAGAAACCATTGGCTACTAGTATGTTAAACTCTGAAAAGAGAGGATTACTTACTGAGGGTATATGAGGTGCTTCAATTACCTGTTACATTTGGTTCTCTCGGACAAGTTTCGTCAATATCGTAACAACAGTCTCCTACCTTTCGACAAAAATCATCACAACTGCAGTCAGAAGGAAATCCTGAGCAGTCAAAAAAGCAGCACTCAGTGAAACCAGCTGCTACACATGAACCTGAAATGAATATGTGATACATGTAACGATACTCTCAACTGTAGCCATGTGCAGACATGTGCTTACCAACAAAGCTAAATGGTTTTGGCGTCGATGGGAGAATCAACGGGTTTGGCTCTAGGTCAATTATCACATTGTTCCAGACTGACTGGAGGTGTACGCAGGCTATTTCATCCGGTGAAAGACCTTCACTGGTCAGAGGATGATTGAAGAAGAAATCTGCCGGTGCATTAGCTCCAATGGTGGCACTGTCCAACCAGCTCAGTTCTCCACACTTGTATGTATAGACAGCATATGACTTTGTACCGTTTGTAATCAGTATCTCTTGGAAGGTGCTCTGTAGGGAGATAAACAGGAGTACATAAATGATTCAGAGTAACACAACCCACTGACAAACCTCAAAGAGGCTACTGTTACTTGTCACGTTTTCCCAGATAGCAACAAGCATCCACGCTCCCGTGAAATTGTTGTCGCCATACTCCACTTGAATCAGTGAGTCCACTTGATCCAACAAGTACCCAGACTCTGCACTGGTGTGGAGTTCCCAAGACACCACACCCATGTCAGAGGTGTCCCAGTCAGCCCAGAATGCCGCTGCCGTGTATCGCCAAAAGACATCACTTATTGTCGACGGGAAAATCTCAGGAGAGCTACTCGTGAAAGGTCTCCCAAATGATACCAGACCATCGGTGCTTACCTGCATGCAAAAGTTATGTATCAATGACATATGCATTGTTTGGCCTTTTGTTGTCTTACATAGGCACTGTCGTGAAAATACCCTCCGAATGGAAAATCATCAGGAAAGGATATTTCAGGGGAAGTGCAATCATCACAGAATAGCAAGGTCCCACTGGCACTACTTGTTTCAACATGAGGCAGAAATTCCAGATAGGTGGCTTGCTCTGTGTAATAGAAAGCATGTTATTTCAAAGGCTCTCAGCCAGGTATTCTCACCGTTTTCTTTGGTGCGGAAGACAAACATGTTACTGTACCGCTTGTATTCCAGGCTCATTCCTCCAAAGGCAGCAACAATTTGACCATAGTAGATAGTTGCAGCTTCTAGGCCACCGACAACTAGAGAGTATGTCTGGTTCTCAAGTGAAACATTGGAAACACTCTCGATCGAGTCACTTATGAATTCAAGTTTGTCTGAGTCCAAGCCATATATGATGTAATATTCCTCTTCCTCTATGAAACTTGGTATAATCCAACTGATGTTAACGTAAGTCACCATTATATCCAGTTGTGTAAGTTCTGTAGGAGAAGAATGTTAAGAATATATTATTTGGATGTAACTGACCTGGCAGAGAAATTTCAGGATTCATGTCACTCAGTTGGTAAATAACATTGGCAACGTTTGAATCGGGAGTGTTTAGACAAGCAATGTCGGATGATGAGAGATCGTGGTTGGCGTAAGGCTCACCAGCAGCACTGAACCCAATTGTAACACTGCTGCCCCATTCAGTCCTACTGCAGTCGTATGTGAATATACTGTAGGAATTTGTCCCATCGGTGATCAGGATTGCTTGGAATGAGTTCTCCTGGAGGTAGTATAGTTAGTATTGCCGTGATCAATTCACATACCTCGAACAATGATATTACATGTGACACAATACGAGCACTAACCGCTGTTGAAGAAGATCCCGGGAAAGGACGCACAGAGTCCCAGTATGCAACCAGCATCCACGTTCCAATGAAGCTAGAGGGTCTCTTTCTCCTCAGGAAATCAGTCACTTGCTCCAGATAGTAGCCAGACTCATGGATTTCATAAGAGATTTCCCCCACCTCGTCACTGCTGATGTCTGTGTCATCCCAGAAAGGTGCTGCCAAATATCGACTACTAGTGTCAGAACCTCCAGGGAATACCTCGTTACTGAATGGATTGTATGCGAAGTTGAACGACAGTAGTCCATTTGTACCCACCTGCCATGACATTTCAGTATGAGTTCACACTATTCTGTTTTTACTCACATAAAGTCGGGTTTGATTAGATGCTCCAAAAGGGAAACCGTTTGTGTTTCCTATACTGATTTCTTGTGACGTTCCATCATCTTGGCGATCTAGAAACACCTGATCAACCCCATACAAAGTATCCAGTGAGATGAAGGGAAGGTACACATCTCCCATGTCATCTGTAGGGCAGCGTGCATATAGTACTTGTAACTCTGATAATAGAGACTGCAAACCTTCGGTAGTGATATTAACTCTGTTAGTCATTGGACCATTTCCACCAGATGATGAGCCATACATACTGCAAGTGTAGGTTGTATGGGGCATGAACTCATCAAGGGTAATAGAGTTGACTGGGTTGAGGGTGACATTGATTGCCAGGTCACTGGATATGTAGCAAGTAATGGTGTATGAGAGTATGGCGATGCTACCCTCTGGAGGATCCCAGAGGAAATAGAGCCCAGTGCGTCTGGGAATTACTTTAAAGTTCAAAGGTGGTCCTCTTGGTGCTGTATGATGTTATGAAAGGTTATTAAAGTTAACTTCTTGTGGCTGTTAGCTTACTTGGCTCTCTTGTGGTGAATGAGACAGGTTCACTGTAGAGGGTAGTAAAGCCATAGCTGGCCACGATAACAACATAGTAGGTATCTCCTGTTGTAAGACCATCCAGTGTGATGTTGTAGGTCAAATCCCTAAAGGAAGTGTTACTATTCCCAAGAATAGAGTAAGACGTCTCATTCAGCGTGGTTTCATCGAACCCATATAGTAGATAGTATTGCTGCTGCTCCAACACATATTCTACTGTCCAGCTTATGACTGCTGAGGTTACGTTTATGTCTAATACCTCCACATCATCTGCATGGAAGCAAACATGATAATATTTTTCACCAGTAGATAGCTAATACCATACCAGGAGGGGGATATTCGGGGTTAGCATTACTCAGACGATACAAAACGTTGCTCCATTTTGACTCAGGGCTGTTCTCACAGGCTACATCTGAAGACGATGGGTTGTTGTTGGCATATCGACCCCCAGCAGAAATAAAGCCGATGGTAGCACCATTATCCCATTCCATGAGACCACACATGTATGTAAACACAGTATAGGAATATTCTCCATCGGTGATAACAATCGCTTGGAAGGTGTTCTCCTAAACACGAAACTGACAAAGTGACAATAGCAAGTAAGAGTTATGAATGCTGACCTCAGCGTTGTCTGAACCAATGTAGGGATGGACTGCATCCCAGTAAGCCACAAGCATCCACGTCCCCTTAAAGGCAGATGGTGCAATAGCCTGGATATAGCCACTCACATGGTCCAAGTAATACCCAGAGCTATGAATTTCGTATGATATCACTCCATTTCCTCCCCTGATGTCAACATCATCCCAGAATGGAGCCACTAGGTAGCTATCAGAAACACTTCCAGGGAACTCTTGGTTGAAGAAGTTATTGTAAAAGCTCCCAAACGATATTAGCCCATTTGTGCCAACCTAACAAGAATCAGATGCAAGCAGGACAAGTATGCAGCATCTTTTACTCACATAAATACTGCTGAGAGATTCATCACCAAATGGAAACTCTGTTCCGATTTCATCAGATCCTCCATCATCAGTCTCTTCAAGTGTCACTACATCAAAGATGTAGGTGTCTTCAATTGGAATGAATGGCAGGACCATCAGGAAGTCCACATCTGCAGTGGTAAGAACATCATGATTAGGATACAATAGTGTCATTGGTAAAACTTTCACCGTCGGTTGTTGTAACAGTGATGTTATTGGATGACGGTCCGTCTCCGATAGCAGTTGATGCATAAATGCTGCATACGTAGGTAGTGTTAGGAGCGTACATATTGATATCAAAACTCTCCATAGTCGAGGACAGAGTTTCATTGAAGACTGTCTCATCGTCCACCACACACAACAATGTGTACGAGGTGATATTTCCATTGCGGCTATCCTCAGCTGGAGGGCTCCAGGAACACTCAAGAGTTGTCCTGTTGATGCTAACATTGAAGTTAAGTGGTGGTCCAGAAGGAGCTAGAGAAGTGTATATAAAAAGGCTAGTACATTCCTGAGTGTTTAATTGTTAGCTACCTACCTCCCTCTGCTGTGGTAAAGGAATAAATGTCAGTACTTGATGATGAGAATTCATTCTTTGAAACAACTTGGTAGTAGTAGGTTGTTGCACCCACTAGATCCTCCAGTAATACAGAATAGGTTTGATTTGTTAGTGTTTCCCCACGACTGCTCAGTGTCTCAGAAGCTAGCTTCAAGTCACTCATATTACGGCCATACTTCACTGTGTACCTCTCTTGGGCAATACCAACGGATGCAATTGTCCAAGAAATATTAGCAGACATTGCTGTAATATTATCATCCACTGATACATCTGAGGGTACCACTGGTATGCCTGTGACAGAGGTGTAATGAATGCACTGTCCTGTAAGGCAAGTAGTACCTTCAGTACAGGATTCTCCAATATCACTGCAACAGTCTCCTCTCTCATAGCACTCCAAGTCACAGCTACAGACTGCAGGAATGCCAGAGCAGTGACCTGAACTACAGCAGGTATCTGAGATGTTGTAGCCAGCCTCAAGACATGACCCTGAGTGGGAAAAATAGGATTGAGTCTTGCAAACCAAGGCACCTTATTTAATATACCTTCAGTTGGTGGCAGTTCAGAATCATCCAGCACTGTAAACGGATTTTCATTGAAAGAGCTGATGAGAGCAAGTCTAAAAATGTGGTTGCTCACCTTTGCAAGAGCGTCCATCTGATAAAATGCCATACCCTTCTGCACACACACATGAAAAGCCATCTTCCAGATCATTCAGGAGACATATGTGACTGCAGTTGCTGGCCTCACAAGGATTTTCAACTGCATGGTAATTATTATTATGTACCTAGAATGACCCCATGAATCATTGTGCATACATACCATACTTCTGACGACTAGATAGGATTGCTTCTATGCCATATGGAGAGGATGGAAACAGTGCAAGAGTTGCAAAATAACCATTGCCAGTGTCTGAACCATGGACTTTGTGCGTCACATAGACTTTATTGGTGGTGAGGTCAGTCCAGAAGAGAAGATTATTGGCAACTGTCAAGGAGAAGGGATAGTTTAGTCCACTCTCCATGGTTTCAAGAGCAGTGCGACCAGATCCATCATAGTTGGAGTACTCTATCTTGTCTAGGTCAGAGTCAGACCAGTATATCTTTTGTGAGTAGTAGTCAATGGTGATGCCATTTGGTTGTGAAAGGCTGGAACTGATCAGTGTACGTCTGTCATTGCCGTCCATAAAGGATCGCTCTATCTTTGCATTTTCAGCCCAATCCGTCCAGAACATGAACCTGATGCAGGAAAACACAGCAGTAAGTCAGTACTTAGTAGCTGGGTAGTTGTAGTGTGTTAGCATATCGTTCATGTACTTGTCATCACGGGTCTTTAATGTGGTCAGTATTATTGTAACCACGTGCAAACTAGTTGGTCTGTTGTCTGTCATCTGTACAAGCTCGCTATAAACGTATTTTATATTAGCTACCTGGCTTTGCTGGCTTGCTGCGGTAACTCACGTTCACATCACAGTAACTACATACTGTAGCTAACATACCTTGATTCTGGATCCACTGCAATAGCTCTGGGGAGTGTATTGGGACCAGTACGGAGGACCTCTGCTCTGTAGTATGTCTCCAGGTCAAGGACTTCAATTCTTGCCCACACAGCATCAACCCAGTAGAGTTTATTTGATATCCAATCAACAGCAAGGTCATCTGTGGTATTTACAATATTCATGATACGAGTTCATTTGCAGGTGAATATAAACACTTACCTACGGCAAGGATACTGGAATTGATAAGTTCTTCAACGTTGGACCCATTCAGGTTCGCTTGATATATTTTGTCTTGTGCAGTGTCCGACCAAAACCCCACAGATGAACTAATGGTAAAAAATTTGTTGGTAGGTAAAATTACAGGGAGTTACTCAGGCATACTTGAACAAAAAGTCCAGTCCAGTTGCAGCTTCAATCGTTTCACCACTGTACGTCACAACTTCACCTCCATCAGAGAGTATTTGGTGAATAAATTCTCCGTTAGCTACAAAAATGTCGTACAGCACTGCTGCAAAACAGAAGATTAGTAGTGTGATTGGCGCTAAGGGAAAATATTATCCACTCACCTGTTCCGTCTGTGTATTGAGGCAGTTGACAAGAAAATATATTAACACATAATATAAGAGAAACTGAGATATACACATACTGGGACAAGTGAGGTCTATGTCATAGCAGCAATCCCCAGTGCCATGGCAGATTGCACCACACTGGCAATCAGCTGGTGAACCAGAGCAGTCATCCCCTTCACAGCACTCACTATAACCCGCATCAACACAGCTTCCTACATTGTAGAGTGTGTAATTGTTGATGAAGGGCAAAGTATATAGCTTGCATACGTACCAATGAAACTGGAAGGCTCTGGGGTGACAGTGAAGACTGTGTTCTTGTCTGGAGTCAAGTCGTACACAATGTTCTTCCATACTGAATTCAAGTGGACACATGCAATTGTGTCTGGTGCAACGTCAGTGTCTGACAGTGGGTGTATCTGGTATGGTCCCAGTGGCACGTAATACCCAATCACTGCCAAGTTGGGAAAGTCGAGTTTGCCACACTCATATGTAAAAACAGCATATGACTGAGTGCCGTTTGTGACCAGGATGGCTTGGAAGGTATTGTTCTAAGAGAGAGAAACATACGTAAAAATCCTTGTGGCAGGATGTGTTCGAGAACTTACATTTGAGTTTGTTTCTGATGCTACCAGATCTTCCCAGAAGCTAATGAGCATCCATGTCCCATTGAAAGAGCCATCTCCATACTCTTCCTTGATGAAGTCATCGACTAAGTCAAACATGTCTGGAGAAAGTGTACGATTGTGTATTTCCCATGACACAAGTCCACCAGTGCTGGAAGTTAGGTTTCCCCAGAATGGTGCAATGAGATATGTCCAGAAGATGTCAGCAGATGTCGGAGGGAAGGTTTCTGGGGTAGCATCTTCAACAGACTGACCAAATGCAATCCAACCGTCTGTACCAATCTAAAGGCAACACGTACGTTATCCATCTCAGCGAAAAAACACTTACAATTGCAATTTGGTGAATGTAATCTCCGAGTGGAAAATCAATAAGAAGACTGATATCCCCTGATGTGCAGTCATCACACTGCTCAAGGGAACTGGTGTTGATGTATGTGTCAGTATGGTTCAGGAATGGCAGGTAAGCAGTTTGTTCTGAATGGAGGGGAAATAGTAAGTGTTTAGACATGTTTACCAGACTACAACTTACCATCCTCAAGAGTTCTAAGTGTTATAGTGTCGCTGTATCTTTTGAACAGATTACCAAAGCCATACTGAGCCAACACTTGAGCATAGTATATTGTTCCATTCTCAAGCTGATCCAGTACCACAGAATAGGTCTGGTTCTCCAGGGTTGTGTCACTGACACTATCGACGGTCAAGCTTGTCAAATTGAGGTTGTCAGACTCCACGCCATACTGCACAATGTACTCCTCCATCTCAGCTATGGATGGTATGTTCCAGGTTATGTTGACTGAAGTTGTTTTCAGCATGGACAGCTTGACATTGTCTACAAGGATAATATTCACACACAAGCCAACACTCAATAAAGTTTACTACTTGGTATGGGAAATTCTGAAGAGTCACTGCTCAGTTGGTAGACAATATTTGTCCAGTTTGAATCAGGAAAGTTGAGGCAAGCAACATCACTGCTAGATGGGTCGTGGTTGTTGTAATTCCCACTTCCAGCAGTGAAACCTATGGTAGCACTACCACTCCACTCCATATAGTTACAGTTGTAAGTGAACACGGCATATGAGTATGTTCCGTCAGTGATTAAAATCACTTGGAACGAATTTTCCTTCATTGAATAAAAGTTCGTATATCTAAAGAATTTAACCCAAAGTCATTTTACCTCTGTGTTCCTTGCAGCTGGGTATGGTCTCACACGGTCATAAAGTATGACGGCCATCCATGTACCCTGGAAATCAGAAGGCCTACGCCTTGCAATGAATCTGCTCATTTCATCCACATAGAATCCAGAGTCGTGAACTTCGTAAGAGAGTCTGGCATTGCCATATCGTAGGTCAATATCATCCCAGTAAGGTGCCACAAGATATTGCCCATAAATCGGAAATATAGAGTTTGAATGAGGATTATAGGCTGAGCTTCCAAAGGAAACTATCCCATTTGTGCCCACCTACAAGATTGAATGTCATAAACATTGCTCTAACTACTATGTTGTTGCAACTCACATAAAACTGTGACGGTGTAGTGTCTCCAAAGGGAAAGTTGGTATCAATTGACACTGGCCCAGTATAGCTATCGTCAGCACGAACAGCTACAACTTCACTAACACCATACACCGTGTCCATGTTCAGAAAGTGGAGATAGGCCTCAGTTGATTCTGTAGAAAATGCTTCAAACTTTAAAAACCAACATTTTTATGATGATGTTGGGTACCTTCAGTGGTGGTAGATACAGAGGCCATAGGTCCATCTCCACCGTTAGTGGAGGCCAAAATAGTGCACTCATAATCAGTGGATGGAAGGAATTCATCAATTGTTATTGTTCCAGTGGTGCCTTTTAGTGTAATGTTGAAGTCAGCACCATTATCACTGCTACAGGCAAGTGTATATGATGTCAATGGTTCGTCAATTTCATCTGGTGGTGGAGCCCACTCAAAGGTAAGTGATGATCCACTTACACTCACTGAAAAGTTTTGTGGTGCTTCAGTCGGTACTGAAAGAAAAACGAGTTTTCTTTAGTTCACACAGGAAGCAACATTACTACATTATTATTACCCCTTTGTATGGTACGGAAGGATTCAATCTCACTGTAGAAAGTAGCACCATCAGCATCGGTTGTAGCAACACGTACGTGGTATAAAACGCCCTGTGACAACCCCTCAAGTGTGATAGAGTACTCCTCGAAAAGGAGTGTAGTATCGGTCGCGGTTATTGCATCAGTTGACAGATCAAGGTCATCTTCATCTTCTCCATACTCGACAACATAGTCTTGAGCCGTAGAGAGCGAAGGAACTGTCCAGCTTACCACAGCCGAGGAATGGGTGATATTTGAGATTTCAAGATCCTCTGTGCATAAATGTACCACTTTTACTGCTTGCGGTGAAAAACAAAATGTAGGTGTTTACCTGCTGGTGGATCCTCTGGTGTAGAAGAGCTTATTTGATAAACTACGTTGCTCCAGTCAGAGTCGGGACTGTTGACACAGGCAACGTCGCTGGACGAGGGGTCATGGTTGTCATATGGATCACCTCCTGCACTGTATCCTATGTTGGCATTGTTGTCCCATTCCATGAGACCACACTTGTAGGTGAGGATGGAGTACGAATACTCCCCGTCACTGATTATGATGATTTGGAATGTGTTCTGATTGGGGTCAAGGATGTGGACATTTTAAAAGTAAGATATGATTTGTCTTACCTCTTCTAACCCTGAGTAAGGTGCCACTTTTTCAAAGCTTGCTAACAGCATCCAGGTAGCTCTAAATGTTGTTGGTCTCTTTCTCTTGAGATAAGCATCGACAAAATCCAGGAAGTCACCAGACTCAATCACTTCGTATGTTATAAAGCCACCATTTCTAATATCAATGTCATCCCAGAAACCAGCAATCATATACTGCCCTGAAGTCCCTGGAAAGGCAGTGTTGCTGTACGCAATGTATGCAGAGGTACCAAATGTGATGTATCCATTGGTTCCAACCTGTATATGGGTAGTCAATGGGTGCACTTAGCTACCATGAAAGGTGGTGGTGGAGTAATAATTCACAATTATAACTCTATAACTCAGTGTGTGCAATAACGCACATTAACTTACATTATCTCGCCTGTTTAGGAGTCAGAGTACTCTCTCACGTTGTAAACTTTTCCCGCTATGTTTAATTTTTACCTATCCCACAGCACAGTGGTGGTGCACTTGCAAGAGTTTGTGGGTTTGAATCTCACTTGTATAATGGATTTTTATTCTTCTTTCTCTCTTTCTGACATCACCATTCTTTCAGTGTACCAGGCGTGAGCAAGATGCGTGCAGTTATAATGTGAGGTAGCCAGGTGAATAAAGCTATATATCCGTGACAGCACGCGCTGTACTTTAAACATGTAAGGTGGACCAAACTTACATAGGCTGTAGTTCTGTTAGAGTCCCCAAAGGGAAAGTCAGTGGGAAGTGTGATTGCTGTGGATGCCCCATCATCAACAGCCGTTATATTTGTTGCACTTGATCCTCCATACAGTATTTCAGTAGAAATGAATGGGAGATATGCTGGAGTGCTGGAATCTAAGTCAATGGAGAGAACATGAATCTATAAGGTCGAGTTTTAATTCTGACAGTAGCTACCTTCGGTAGTAAAAGTGACAGAAGCAGTTGGGCCACCACCGACTGCAGTTGAGGCATATATCTCACAAGTATACGCCGCTTCTCTTTTGTATACTCCCCAGCAGAATTCCCGAAGGGTGGCTTTTACAGTTTGTACAAAGATGTCCTTGTCATCTACTGCGCACGACAGTGTGTACGATATAATGGCGCCATTTCGTTCACTCTCAGAAGGCGGTATCCACTCCAGTAGTAGGACAGTATCAGCGAGAGTGTGCATAAAACTCTTTGGTGCACCACTCGGAGCTAGAAAATGACATTGTTTGTTGGGGCTACAATGATAGAGAGCATACCCAATTCATTAGTAGTGAAATCTTCCACACGGCTCTCTCTGGTGTAGTCTAAGTATGTTGCCACCACCTTGAAATAATAGGCGATGCCTAAATTCAGCCCCGTTAGTGTTACGGCGTAATCCAGGACTGCGTCATCTGAGGCTGTGACTGTGTTACTTGTGCTGCTCAGTGACTCCTGATCTGTTCCATAATAAACTATAAACTCCACTTCTTCGCCATCAGGAATGAATGAGACACTCCAGGATATTTCAGTTGTAGATGTCCCAACATCTAATGCATTTGCATTGACTGTAGCGGCAGGGGTAAACAGTAACTGCAGTGTTACTCAAAGGTCTTACCAATTGTCAGTTGTGGGTCATTCTCGCTCAGCAAATACAGTACATTGTTCCAATCTGATCCAGGGTCATTCTCACATGCAATATCACTGGACGATGGATCATAGTTATCATAAGCATCACCGGCAGCATTATAGCCAATACTAACACCATTGTCCCACTCCAAAAGCCCACACTTGTAGGTGAAAATCGAGATTGATGATGTTCCATCAGTGATTAGAATGGCCTGAAACGTATTCTGAAGGCAATTGTGAACCCAGAAACTTACAAAGAATGAGCAACTTACTTCTCCACTACCCGAGTTTGGCTCTACAGCATTGTAGTATGCAACCAACATCCAAGTTCCTTCAAACTCTGTCGGTATTTTCCTCTGGATGTATGCATTTACCTCATCCAGGAGGGCACTAGATTTAAACCTCTCGTATGAAATTTTGCCACCATTACCAATATCGATGTCATCCCAATAGGGTGCAACGAGGTACCGTCCTGTTGACCCGGGGAATGCGGAATTTCTATAAGCAGTATAGGCTGTTGTTCCGAAAGAGATTATTCCATTGGTTCCAACCTGCATGTACAATCATGTACTCCACTTAACCGGCTAATAACGGAGACATAACTAAATACTGATTATTTCGGAGATACCAATTGTGTCTAAAGGTTAAATGTAAACTCACATAACATACTCACATAAACTGTTGTTTGTGTGGAAGTGCCGAAAGGGAAATCTAGTGGAATTGATATTGCAGAGGATGCACTATCATCCAACTGTGGCAGGTACACTTCATTTGAATCATACGTGTCACCAATAGGAATGAAGGGCAGATATTCGTCGTCGTCTACATCTATAGTAGTGAAAGGCGATTGTTAAGCTAAGGAATGAGAGGCTTATTAAGTACCTACCACCGGTTATCACAGTGTCTGTTGCTGTTGGTCCTTCTCCTGCCAGAGTAGAGGCTGAGAATTTGCACGTATAAGTTGAAGAGGTCTCATACACCCCAACACTAATCTCTTCCACAGTGTATGTGAGATTGATAGCAAACTGTTGTTCGCTTCCAATGCTACACTGAAGAGTGTAAAAAGCGATATCTCCGTTTTGCTCGTCTTCGGCTACTGGATCCCAAGTGAATTTTACCACAGTATTATCCAGATCAGCATTAAAGTTCATTGGGGCACCAGATGGGGCTGAAAAGAATATGCAAATAGTAAGTTCTAAGTCCAAGAAGAGTGTACTAAAATTTGCTTGCCTCCACCCAACGTAACGGACTAGTGTTATATATATAGGAAAATTGTCATAATTATTATAATACCTAGCTCCAAAGTTGTAAATGTGGCAGTTTCGCTCTCCAAAGTAAAGCCCTCAAAAGTAATTTCTACTTGATAGTAGTAGGTTGTGTCAGGAGTCAATCCTGCCAGGTCTACCTCGTAGGATTCATCAACTCCAGGGCTAGAACTCTCACTGTCAACTGTGCTACTACTTTCGTCCAGACTATCTTCACTTGTGCCATAGTGGACTTGATACTCATGACTCACCCTTCGATTCGCAACAGTCCATCCAATTGTAACAGATCTTCCGGCAATATCTGTTGCTTCGAGATCCTCTGCAATTAGGTCAATTTATACTAGTTGTTAGAGATTCATTTTAAAGTTTTACCTGGAGGTGTGTTCTCTGGAGTAACATCACTCAGTAGATAAACTACGTTGCTCCAGTCAGAGTCAGGACTGTTGACACAGGCAACGTCGCTGGACGAGGGGTCATGGTTGTCATATGGATCACCTCCTGCACTGTATCCTATGTTGGCATTGTTGTCCCATTCCATGAAACCACACTTGTAGGTGAGGATGGAGTACGAAAACTCCCCGTCACTGATTATGATGATTTGGAATGTGTTCTGATAACAATTGTTAAAGTTAGCTTAGCTAGATTCCTGAAGATTTGTCAAACTTACCTCTCCAGATCCAGAATAAGGCTCCACCTTATCAAAGCTTGCAACTAGCATCCACGTTCCTTCAAAAGACGTCGGCCTTATTCTCTTGAGGTACTCATTAACATCATCGAGAAAATAGCCACTTTCAAATATTTCGTATGTGATAGAGCCACCATTTCTAATATCAATGTCATCCCAGAAAGCAGCAACTATATACTGCCCTGAAGTTCCTGGAAAGGCAGTGTTGCTGTACGCAATGTATGCAGAGGTGCCAAATGTGATGTATCCATTGGTTCCAACCTTCAACAGTGAGACAGACTTTCATATTTGTTTGCAAAAGTTTTGCAACAGGCACACTTACATAGGCACTGGTGTGGTCCATGTCCCCAAATGGAAAGGTCGTAGGTAATGTGATGGCTGAGGATGCAGAATCATCTACAACAGAGAGATTTACTGCATTCGAGCTTTCGTAGAAGCTGTCCAACAGAATGAACGGCAGATAGGCTGGGGTGCTGGAGTCTGGGACAATAAGCCATTTAAAGTATTGTGTATTAGCTTAGTGACTGCTTACCACTGGTCGTTACATTTGTACTAGCAGTAGGACCTTGTCCTGCTGAGTTTGAAGCCGATACACTACAGCTGTATGTGGACGATACCTCATACACTCCAAGACTTATCTCTTCCACAGAACTCGTTAGATTAAGCTCAAATTGCACGGCACTACCAATACTGCAGCTGAGATAATAAGACACAATGTCCCCATTCTGGCTGTCTTCAGTTGGTGGATCCCATGTGAATGTCACCACAGTGTCTTCAGTAGTTGCATTGAAGTTCATAGGTGCACCTGTTGGGGCTATATGATGTAGGTCATTATTTATAAAGTGTGAAAGAATAAATGCTCTTTGTTATGTGCATTCATTGTCACTACCTGCTGTGATGAACCGGTGTAATGCAATTCACTAAGTGAAAATCCACGAAGCTATGCACGTGCAAGATGATTATTTGTACTTACATACACTCCCACCTAAACCGAATTCATTTTTATAGAGCCTAGTCTAAGGCCTAACAGTGTTCTTTAGTTCACCTATAACTGCCTCCCGCATTGTAATAGCACGAACTCGCGGATGAAAACGTTGACAGCACTATTCTCTTGGAATTACTTACTACTTTGTCCC